GGGTTTTTGGATTTTTGGGGTGATGTATTTGGGGGGGGTGTTTTGTTTTGTTTTGGTTGGGGTTTGTTTTGTTTGGTTGGGGTTTTTTTTACAAGCGCTAATTTAGGGCTTCGCTGTAGTTGAAATAACTTAAGCCTTATTTAACTTTTAAATGGATCATAGTCACCTTGTCCCAAACTGCTTTTAACACATAGCAAGTTGTTTTCATCCAAGTGATCCCCAAAAAACACCACCCCACCCCCCCAAACCCCAACAAAACCCCAAACCGACTCACTTCAAGGGCACATAGCTCTTGTTTAAAACAAGCCCAGCTCGCAGGGCTCTGAGCGCAGTTTGCTCCCGCCGCTGCTCACAGGTCTGCGGGGCGGCGAGTCCCCCTCTTCCCAGAGAGACACCAAGGGAGGGACCACACCGGCACGACGATGCAGACAGCACCACCATCCACAGCTCTTTGGTGGGCTTGCTTTAAGTCCGGTGATAAGAAAGAAGTCTTCTTAAGCTTAGTGGGGTTTCTGGAGGAGGAAAGCCCCCCCAGCCCAGGCGTTTAGGATACCCACCAGCTTCCAGCTGCCCCCCGGGAAGCAGGAGCGGGGCTGCAGCTAGGGCTGCTGACGCCGGCCATGCTCCCCACCTCCCCCTGCCTGTGGGCAGGGCTGGCAGGATCTCCCCATCCCCTCCATGGAGGGGATTTTCTCTTCCCCAGGGGACGCTTTTTTGGTGCACGGTGGCGAATTGAGCCTTAGCTGTTAGTTTGCAACCTGGCGCAGCTCTGCAGCAAATGTCGGCAAGGGCCACGAGGGACGTTTCCAGACCAAGCTCTTTAACTACAGACCAGAAGGCAATTTCAGCCTTCTTCAGGAGAAAGAGGAAAAAAAGAAACACATGTAAAGATGCCTTTGATTTGCTCAAAAATAGCTGAAAGGCTTCACGACAGCTCAGCAGAGCATCTTCGCCTTAGCACAGCGCTGGACTCCCGAAAGGTGGCAGCCAGGAGCAGCCACCGACACCACGACATTTCCTACCCACCAGGAAAGCAATTCTCCTTCCTTTGGCTCACAAATTACTTCGACATTCGTTACTAATGACTGTAACGAGTATTTCAGCAGCACATGGGAAAACCTTCCCCCTCCTCTCTTCCCCCCACCTCTCAAACACAGCAACCGGCAAACCCAGTGACCCGGAACAGAATTGGGACTTTCCTGGCCACAAAGGAGCCTCTTCAATCCCAATTGCTTTCTGCAGAGCAAAGGAAAAGCCTCTTGACCACTTAAGCGCACCAGTAGTGCCCTGGTTGCACAGACCGGAGCAAGACGCAACCCGCAGAGCCCCGTGAGGCTGACAGACTTGGTTGGGTCTGCACATCAGAAGGGAGAAAACTAATTTGACCACCAGTGTCCGAAGAGCTGAAAATAAGCATGACGGGGTTTGGTTATAAGGCAGCGAGGCGTACAGAATGCCTACAGGAGCCTTCCACTAGAAAACCAGCGAGGACAACTGCAGCAGCACATTTAAGAGCATCGTTACTGAAATATTTCCGAGGTTATTACACATAATCTTATGGAGAAAAAGTCCATCTTTTTTGTCCTGTGAGTATGGACTAACGCTGTGTGTTCTGGGAGGATTCATCTCCAGGACGGCAGGAAAATCTGGGACTGCCCACTTGCCTATTTTGCACCTACATGTAGCGTTTAAGGTTTGGGTTTTTCTTCTTTAAAACCAGAATTGAACTATCTGCTGCTTGCAAGGCTTTGTAACGCGCCTATGCATTCTCCCCCATCAAAGCACGGCACATCTTTCACCCATCTTTTGCTACTTCTGTGAAAAGAAAAAAAAGAAAAGGCTTGAAGTGCCTCAGCCCAAAGTCATTCATGCCCGTTCAGTACGACAGCAGAGCACTTAACGGAGCATTTCTATAAATGAGATTCCTTTACAAACTAATCTAAGCTGTTTATTGTTTCCAAGGAGCATGCACTTCCACAGCAGAACAGGAAGTTTTGACAGTTTAAGAAGTTCATTAAACTCTGGGAGGAAATTTAAACAATCAGCGACAGCTTTCATACAGCAAGGCAGCGCTGGAGAAGTCACTACCCTCCTAAAAGGCAGAGAGGCTGCAGCTTTTAATTATCACACTTGCATTAAGCCCCAGTGATTCTGTTACTACTTCTAAATTGTTTTGGCCCAACACCCAGGGCTCACAACCGAGTACAGCTATTTGCTCTTTTATTCTTATAGCCAAACATCGCTTTTGTCCAAACCTCAAACTCCTTTATCTGTAAACAGGCCAAAGCAAGGCAGTGGAAGAAGTAACAGTCTCAAGCACAAGAGAGTGCTTCAGCTTGGAAACAACCACTTCTTAGCACGTTTTCCTTGATACGGAGGAGTATATAAAATAGGAGAGGAGGAGCTCGGTGGCGTCAGTCCAGCGAGCAGGCGGCTCCCGGGCAGTCTGGCGTTGGCCGTGCCGGTACGTTTGCACCTACCTGGGGGGCACATGCAGTCTGACGGAGCCTCTCTCGCCGTCCGCAGCTTTGCTAGTCCTTCACCCAGTTTCTGTTTGGAGGAGGAATAAAAATAGCCATTTAGAGAATATATTCTATCTAAATGCAGACTGCGCGTGCACGCCAGCAGCCAAACCATCCAGCACCCTTCCTTCCAGTGAGAGGTAATAGTTTCACCCTGTTGTGTTCAGCCTCTTTGGATAATACCTCGTGCCATAGTAGCACACAAAATATTAAATGTTTCTTAGCAAGCGGCCGGTCTGCAACCCTCGCACGGGGCAGGCAAAGGCTCCTTCTGCATGTCCCAAAAGTCACTTGGTGCCAAGCACCGCGGGCTGGATTCATCCTGAGCAGCTATTACAAGTGCCATGTTCAGATGTCAGCATCGTCTCAGCATGTTTGGCGGCAGGAGTAGGGCTGGGGGAGCGAGCCCCTCTGCTCCGCCACGGCCGGCCCCGACAGCGAGGCAAACGCCCCGGGGAAAGCCCCGCTGCAACCCACGGCGAAGCCTGGAGGTTACAAGGCAGGGTGATATTTGCATAACAGATGTGACCTGATTTGGCTGATTTTGTACTTAAAATTCATGCTATGTGAAGTATTACAGGTTCTTTAGGAGAGGGATGAGGAGATGAAGGACAGTGGGGTGGGCACTGCCAGCAAGACCGGGGTGCTCACCCACCCCCAGCTCCACCAAAAGCCCAGTGTTGCCATCTCCAAGGTGAAAAACTCATCAGTGGGACTACTAGAACACGTAAAAATTCACAAAACTAATGCAATGTCTACGTGGCATATTGCAGACAGATGTGAGCGCGCTCTGCCTGCTCTCTAAGCCAACCAAAATGTTCGTGCCTGCATTTAGGACACTGCCAAGCCCAAGTAATAAGCCCTGATGACAGGTAAGTTATATTAGCTCAGGCATAGCGCTTCGTGGCTGGGGCAGCCCAGCACGGGTGGGAACATCTCACCTTCACCCGCAATCGTTGCTCTTTCAGTCCTCCAGGAATGCCCTGTCTCACCTAAAGTATTTACTAAGAGAGAAACCAATAATCTGATAACCGGAGTCCCCACATTTCAAAGAGAGAAAATTCAAAGTGCTTATTGAATTCAGGGTGTTCAGACTTGAATTTTACACAGCTGATGACCCAGTCTATGTTCAAATATTCAAACTCTGTGGACTATTCAGGAATTGGGCTACCTGTGAATTAGGTTCTTTTCCTTTTATTCCAGGGATCAAGTAGTTTTGTCTGTTGTTGCAATCCTATGCATTCCTTTCTAGCTGCGCGGATGTGATGCTAAGAGGTCCTGAAAGCATCAACACAGTTTCATAGCACCTGACAGAGAAGTTGTCCTAAGGGAAGTGTAAATAGCAGAATGATCCAGCTGCCTTCTACAGTACATACGCTTTCCTTGAGAAAAAGTGGCAAGAAAGTATCTAAAGAGACTTTTCTGACAGCCACTTGCACTCTAAATATTACGGAGTCACTCAATTTTTATGCTTAAAGTAATTTGGATGATGAAGATCCTTGAGGAAACGAAAATAAGCTCTTCCATCCTTTCAGTTCAGCAGGCATCACTGGGAACAGCAGAGGAGATCTGCTCCGGTCCTGAATCCTGGAGCGAGTTCTCTGTTCTCCCACTGAATTGTTCTTGTCATGAAACTGATTAATCTGGACACTCTCTGCCTGCCACGGACAATAAATCCTTTGTGAACAAAAGGGCCCAGCTTTGTTTACAACAACTGGATGCTTCTATAATCTTCCCGTTAACATTTTCCCTTCAGCATGCAAACTACGCGCTTCGAATTGGGGCTTTTGACGTAGAGCAAGTGGAGATGCCGCCACGTTCGGACCACGCTGTTGGAAATGTTTCGGAGGGCATCAAAGCAGGACCCTGCAGCACGTCCCGCTAAAGGAACAGCCAAGGGAAGGGCAAGGTCCTGCCACATTAAAAATCAGCAATTTCTCCAAAGTTAGACAGATGCCTGTCACAGGGCCAGAAACTAAATCCTAGTTGTCCAAATCCGCTTTCATTGCCTTAACCACACACTCACCCTTCCTTTATTATTTCCTATCCTCTTTTACTTGCCAGACATTTAAACAACACTAAAAGGAACAGAGCCAGCATGTTGGTGTTGTATTTGCTGCTCTTTATATGCAGCTCTGCCATAAATTATGCCAGCAAACCCCCAGACTGGTACACGGAGTAATGCTTTTTGGGTAGCGACAGAGAACAAAGTGTGCCGTGTCACGCACAGGGAGCGTACGGAGCTTTGGTTTCACTTCTGAAATATCGTGGTAAACTTCAAAGGAGGACCAACACAGAATTTCACAGAAAAACTGACCCCAGGCATCAGCTGATGTTCATGATGATGGAAATACTCTCTCGCTCTCCAGAAACTCTCAAGCACAGAAAGGGCAGAAGTTGCCCGACGAGCGAGAGGCCTTACGTAATGGAGAGGCGTTTGGTCAAGAAAGGGACACTTTCTGAAACTTTAACATAAATGAATAAGTTCTTTTAAAATGACTATTAATAGATAGCACAATCACTACCACGCATTCCTTGAATCTGTTACTCATTTCAAAATTTGCTTTCAGTACTGACAAAAGTTTGGTCATACTAAATGTTTCAACAAGCTCACTCTTGCATTAGAAACCCAATTATGTGGTTTTGCTTTATTTTCCCCTGTACAATCTCCATCTGAGCATTCCCAGTACAGAACAAGCTTTCCACACATAACTAAATCTCAGCAAGAGGTTGCACATGATCTTAGGCAGTGCCACAGAAACCATTCCCATTGCTAAGCACATTTATTGGAATAATTGGAACAGAACCACTGCCACGACTGGCAGGCTAATTCCTGCCTGGAGAAAAGACGTTAACTAGATTTTGTGATTACGCCTCGCAGGCACCCCTCTGTTCTGGTATTCAGGGTTTTCACAAAAATATTTTTTAACATTTCCCTTTTATCAAGGCACATCAATGCAACCAAGTTTCCAGGAGAATGGACGCGCTGCGGCGGTGCCAGCAGTACCCTCACCGTAACTCCAGCAGTAACACGCGGCAGGAGGAATTGTTCTCCCCGTCCCCCCCCGTGCAGCCTCCATCCCCCCTCGCATCCCGCCCCACGCACAGCTGAACCAGCTCCGCTCCCCAGCG